GTTTAAAGACTTTTAAACTTTTAATGCATTTAACGACAAAAACATTATTATTATTTTTTCTGAAACAATAATAATTTTAATTTATGATTTTAAATATATATATATATATAATAGTTATATAAAGTGTATATATATATATAAAAAAATGACATTAAAAACATAAATTGCTGACACATTTTGTTACAAACAATATTGTATATACAGTATATACTGTTTTATTTAAAAATCACATTAAATCTAATTAAGCAAATAAAATGTAAAATAAATTTTCTTATATATAAATATTGTTTCAAAAAAATTTTTGTTTTTAAGAATATAGAATATTCTTTAATAGATAAATGTATGGATAGAATGACTATAACTATTAATATATATATATATATATATATATATATAGCTATTCATAATATTCAATGAAAACACAATTTCTAACAAAAAAATATAAATATTTTTTATTATTATTAAATGCAATTCAAATGTGACAAACAATGTTTTTAATGTATAGATTGTTTTTTTTAAAAAAAACTTATATACAGTATATTTTAGTTATAAGTTAGTTATACAAAAAAGCAATACTTCACATAACATTAATCTCAATTAAATTAACTGTTTTATATATATATATATATATATAAATTATTTGTCTTATTTGATTATTTTAGGTCTAATTTATTTTTTAGTAATATTATAAAAGAAAGAGAGACAGAAAAAAACTGTGAAAGCACTGGTAGATTGGCTGTCTATCCGCACATAAAACAGTTTTCATGAAGATATACCGTATATTATAACTTATAAATAATATTAATTAATCAAAATAATACATTAGATGTTTTTAAAAAAAATTATTACTAATACTACTAATAACAACTACAACAACAACAAAAAAAACTAAATTATATAWCACTTTATAGACACCAACAAAAAAAAACATTTATTACAATTACAATCACTAAGTCTTCAATCACAGTGTTGTGTTGTATGTGTTAAGTGATGTCATCGTCAACAACAACAACTACTACACCAACACCTACTATACCATCAATCTTAGCATATATACCACTGTTGACACCAACACCAACAACAACAACTACATCAACCATCACTAGTCTTACAACTATAGCAGCCATGAATACAACAACACCATCACCAACAACAACAATGACAATACCGACTAACAGCAGTACGGTTAGGGACGAAAATCTGGCACTAATAGAAGTGGCCACTTTGGGTACACTATTTGTACTCATAGTTTTCGGTAACTGTTGTGTACTGTTGGCTCTGGCCCTGAGGCCGATGAAGATGACCCGTATGTACTACTATTTGCTGCATCTGTGCGTTTCGGACTTGATTACCGGCTTTTTCACTGTACTACCGCAGCTGGCCTGGGATATAACCTATCGGTTTAACGGCGGCAATGTACTATGCAAACTGGTCAAATCGATGCAAATATTGGGTCCGTATCTATCGTCCTATGTGCTGGTAGTTACCGCTATCGACCGCTATCAGGCCATTTGTTTTCCGCTGTCCAACTGTAGTTGGACACCACGGCGATCCAAACTGATGATAGCCGGCGCCTGGTTGATATCCATAATATTTTCGCTGCCCCAGGCATTCATATTTTCCTATCAGGAAATACCGTTTACCGGGGCCGGCAGTTCAGGTGTCTACGACTGTTGGGGTACATTCCCGCAGCCGTACGGCGAACGTATATACGTTACCTGGTATGCCATCAGTGTCTTCTTTGTTCCCCTGGTTGTCATCATTTTCACACACTATTATATTTGTCGTGAAATATGGGTTAACGTTTCACTTAAACGTAAGACCGATCGGCACCGGGAGAAACAGTTCAATAATTATCGAAGTAATAGTAATAATAGTAATACCGATAATCATAATATATTAGTCGACAAATCAGTGCAGTCCAGTAGTATTGTACACCACTATCACCGCAATCAATATACCACCGATGATGGCAACACCACCAGCACCAACACCAACAACAATAACAATCATAATGGTTGTCATAAATCATACGCCCGGTGTCGACAGTGTCTGATGCTTACACTAAATCGTGTCTATCGATTGGCCAGTCGTCGTCATCGTCCTCATCATCGTCGTAGGCAATCGTCGGCCGCCGGTTGCGATGGTGTCGACTATGATGGACACGACGACAGCCAGCAATCCATAGCAATCAATAATAGCAGTGAAGATCATGAAGTGGTAGCAAAATGTTTGGCTGCCGATACTACCGGTGCAGCCATCGGTAACAACAAACACTACCGGCACCGATCGTCGCGCAGTTGTGTCCAGTTTACTGACCTAAACTCTACGAGTAGTCCGCGAGTCAATACCGTTAACCGACTGTCCAGAGCCAAGATCAAGACCGTCAAGATTACTGTAGTGGTTATACTATGCTATATAGTATGCTCGTCGCCGTTCATATTTGTCCAGCTCTGGGCCTATTGGGTGCCCAGTGCCCAGCACTCGGCATTTTGGACAGGTATGTGTCGAAAAACATTTTATTAAATTAAATTAAATTAAATATATATATTGTTATTGAATATTATTTTGTTAATATACAGTAATAACAGTAAAATGCTATATTAAAATTCAAATGTGTATTGAAATAAAAAAAACAAAATGCAATGAAATTATTTATTTATTAATTTATTTTGTGGATAAATTAGTGATATTTAATCAAATCAAACACAACAAACAAAAAATTAATTTATTTTATTATATTTTTATTTTAGGCTTATAATTTATTATTATTATAATTAATTAATTATTTTTATGGATAGTGTTTACTGTACTGTTAAATAAAATGAAATTTAATAATTATTACTAAACAAAAAAAAGTCACTTTTAATTAAACCAGTGATTAAAGGCTTATTAAAAAAAAAACTATAAATTAATTTTTCCAAACTTTTAATTGATGGCAAAATTGTTTGAAATATTTGTGGGAAACTTTCCTTTCACTGTGTTTTGTTGTTGTAAATACTATATATAAAATTTAAATAAAATTTTCTTACTATTTTGTTGTAAATTTTCGAGTAAATATCTAGTTTTAAAGTTTAATTAATATATATATATATTATAAGTTACTGATAGTGAGAAAATATTGAGACACCCATTGATATATATATATATATTAAAACACTTTGATTATTAAATCAGTCAAATAATCGGTCATATAATCGATGATACCTTAAAGGCATAAAAGTTTTTTTTAAATAAAATAAAGATAAATATTATACAAGTGATTGACTATCATATACATGTATATACAGTATATCATATGTAGTTGAAAACATCAAAAGAGATAGATATATAAGATATATATATATATATAGTATATACTGTTTATCAATAAATTTAATTTAAAGATTGAATGAAACTGATGGCAAACAAATTTGTTGTATATACTRTATATATATATATATATATACATTGAATGTACGGTACTTTACTTCAAAGTTTTTTTTTGTATCCTATATTATCATTCAATTCAATTGATTTATTTCTCGGGTTTTTTCATTTATCTATTTTTTTATATATACAGTATATTTTCACTTATTTTTCATCTTCAATGATGATCTTCAATGTTGTAAGTGATTGTGCCGTTAAAAACCATTATATTTGACTTTATACTAGTAGTAGTAGTAGTAGTAGTAGTAGTAATAGTGGGATATAGTATCCTTGATATGGCTTATATACTATATATATATATATATATATATATATATATATATATATATATATATATATATATATATATATATATGGGAACACTATTAGATATTGTATGTAATAATGAAGTGCTCAGCACTGGTACGTAAAAATTTCTATATAAGGTTTGCTTAGTTTGTGGAAAAAAATCCTAAAATTTAGTTAAAAGACAAGCAGTTTGCCTACAATTTTGATGACTGGGCTTAGATTTTGTGTGTGTGTGTGTGTGTGTGTGTGTGTGTGTATCTATGAGTGTGTGTGTGTGTTATGTTTTATAGTAATAAAAAACCTCAATATATACTCTATAAAATAAAAATAAAAAGTTATATATCATTTCATTGGGCTTTTCAATGTCAATATATATATGGCATTATACACACATTATATATCGATAAAATTGTACATTAATTTTAAGTATTATTTAGTGATTGAGTGAATGTATGAATGAATAAATAAATGAAAATAATTGACTTTATTTTTAATACATATTATATTATATAATAAAAAATACCTTATATTATATGAAAAGTTTATTTTTCATTTAACTTACTGTCAAAGAGTTATTTGCAGTTTTTTTTGGTTAGTATATACAGTATATATTGTATATAATATATATATAAGAGTCGATGTTTTTTGAAAAAAAAAATTTTATTAACGTAAATAGTATTTACTAAAAATAATTTATTTTTTATTTAAAAAAATATATTTATAGTAAACAATATTATTTTTATCTAAAAACTTAGACATTTACATGAGTTTTATAGTATAGTGTAATAAAAATTAATTTTTTTTTGTTTATATATGTTTAGAAATTTTTTTGTTTTTTTATATATAAATATATATTTTGGAAAATAAAGTAAAAACAATAACAAATGTCACGGGAATTGATATTATATAAGGAAATAAAAATCTTTTTTTTAAAATCTAATATATATTATAGTAAATACTTTATATWTATACAGTATTTACTGTACTTATATTTACTATAAATAAAAAAATAAATTTACAGTTTTTCAATAATGTATTTACAATATAATGTGGTATTTATCAGCAATTAATTATTTTTTTTAATATGTGAACGAGATTTAATTATTATTATTATAGATAATTAAATAAATTATAACGAGTAGATTAGATTATTATTTTGATTATATTTATTAATTAAAAAAAATACATATATATATTCTGTAATATTGTATAATTTGTTTGTTTTGTAAAAAACATAATATTTCGTTGACTAAACTTTTTTTTAAATATTTATACTAAAAAAATTATACAAAAATTAATCATTAAAATAAATATTTAATAAAATTTTCTAAACAAACAAAAAATTTCTGATCTGATATTTTTGATGCCACTATCGCTAACACATTTGACATTACATTAAATTAATCAATCAATCAATAAACTGCAGTATATTTTTTTTATATATTATTTGATAAAAACATTTGTTTTAGGCATAATTACACACTAAGGTATATATATATACAATATATCTGTAAGATAAAAAAACAAACTATTTTCAACAACACATTAAATAACACAAACACTTATATATATACTGTATATATAGTTATATACTTTTTTAGATATATTTGTATAAATGTGTGATAAGTATAACTACAGTAACACAACAGCAAAAAACACACACAATTATAGTGTTAACTCTATATATATATACTATAGCTATGTATTGTCGATGTTGTCTAAGATAGGGTGAGAAAAAAACCTAACGGTGTATAACATTAGTGAATAACTATTATATATATATATATATGTTGGGTAATCAGTCACACGTCGATTGATTCACAACAACAACAACAACAATACCAGTTCAATACCAGTTATATTATATATATATATATATATATCAATAGGTATATATCGGTAGACATATATATATTACTTGAATTAAAAATAAAACCCTCAATACTATTGTCAGGAAAAAGTAAAAAAATAAAAGAGAGTAATGTTTTTTGATTAAAATATTACAACAAAAGAATAATATTTTTTTTCTCATACAGAATATTCTGTACTCTGTTTTCATTTTATTGAGGAATATATAAATATTAAATATATATAAAAAATTTCTTATAAAATAATAATAATAATAATAACTATAACTATTAATATAATAATGGGAAAAAAATACTAGTACTATCAATCAATCAACTAAATAATAATAATAATAATAATATTAAAAAGTGAAATAAATTTTTTTTTTGATAAAACAGTTGATAAAAATGTCAAATAATTTCTTTATATATATGTGTGTAAATGTGATTACATTTTTWAAAAAAAAACTTATAGATAAATCATTGGACATATAAAAAATGATAAATTATTACAATACCTATTATGAATAAGTGTACTATTATTTAGATATATTTTTATAAAAAAATATCTGCATTTAAATATTACCTAGTTTACATTTTCACACACACATACAATTACCTATTATATGTTAAAATTTTTTATGAAAAAAATATATTACAATTTTTGCAGTTAATTAAAAAAACTAAAAATAAATACATAATATAATCTTAATATAAATAGAAATAATAAAATAAATTGTTTTGTTTAAATATTAATTTTTTAGTAAATATTTAATTTTAATTTTTTGTTAAATTAAATAAATAGTTTTTTTAAAAAATATTTATTTTTTTTTTTGGAAAATAATTTAATTTTTTAGATAAATATTTATAACAAAATTAGATTTTATTTGTTAATATTAAATTTTCTATTAAATGTATTATTATTTATGTTTAAAAACTATTTACGCTTAAAACATAAAATTTTCTTTATATTATATATATATATATATATATATATATATATATATTGTAATTTATTATTAATATTTTAACACAATGTTTATTATAGTATAATATTAGTTTTATATAAATATTATGATAGCCTATGATAGATTATACTATAAAAATTATTGTAAAGTTATCCAACAAAAATTGATAAATTGATATCTATTGTCAAAATAAAATAAAAAAAAAGTTTTGATATATTAGAAAATAAAAGTGATTTTTCGCAAACTATTTATTATTATTTTTTGTATGAAAAAAATAGATTAACATAAATAAACAATATATATTCACAATTTAATAATGATAAAATATTTTTTGAAAAAAATAACATATTAAACAAATATATTGAATATAAATATATATATATACTGTATATATATATATATGTATATAGAKATATATATATATATATATATATATGTGTTAAAATAATTTTTTAAAAAAGTATCTAAATCTACTATAAATTATCTATATATTTATAATTAATTCAACTTTAATTTTTTTAAGTAATATAAATAATATATATATTTTTATAGATTTAATTTTAATTAACTTAATATCTTAAATGAGCAATTAAATATAAAACAAATTAAAGCGTGATTACATTAAAAAATAATTGCTAATATATTTTTTAATAATAAAATATATATATATATATATAYWGGTATAATATACACTGTATATAAGTATATACTGTATTATATAACTCAATAAAAATAGTAATTTATTTTTGAAAATAAAAAATTGTTTTTTTATATCAATTTCACTGAAGAAAACAAACTGAGAAAACAAAAAAAAATTGTGTGTTATCTCTAAATGAAATAAATAATAGATATTATATATATATATATATTTAACTACTATTAGTACTTAAATTAAACCTCAAAAAAGGACTCATAGAAAATAACTGGTAAATCCCTTAAATCCAGTACCTATTGCACCGTTAGATTAG